CTTCACTTGGGCTAGTGCGTTCAAGAACTTGTCGCTCCAGTCTCTGAACTTTGCTCTTTCCCCACTGAAGTTCTTTAGCGCCTGTAATGCTTTATATTCGCTTATCGGTTTACTGCTCCCGTGTTTGCTTCCGCTTCCTCCTTTAATCGCTTCCGAGATCTGACCAAACCTTTCGATCAACTTTTCTTGTACTTCACTGTTGGTCTCCAACTCGGTGACTCTTTCCACCAATCTGCGAGCATCCCTTTCGAGTGCAGCGTTTCTCTTTGTGATCGCTAACAGCATGCTGTTGGTCTTGTGGGCACTCTGTAACATTTGGAACGCTTCGGCGTTCGATACCTCCCTTCGATCCTGTGTCACTCGCTGGTTAATGAACGTTGCGAGTCCGAAATGGTTCGCGAGTAGCGCCGTCTGAACTTAACTGAAGTCTCCGTTCAGGTATGCTTGCTCGCACAGATCGTTGAAGCGATTCGGGTCCATGTTGACCCATGCATCTCTGTCTGCCGGCACATTGAGATTAACTGGCGGGTCGCCCTGCCCAGGTCTGGCCGCAGCTGCCGCTGCCGCTGCCATGGCAACCGCGTTCCGCTACCATGCAAAACCCCGAGGAGGGTTCTGCACGGGAGCCTGGCGATAATGATAACGATAGGTCACCTTTATACTCCCGAACGGCAAAGCAGGCCTATGTAGCTTCGACCGTTAAACAGTTGAGCCAAAGGCAGCAGGGTTGCTATTCCTCCCCTGTCACACGCACGCTTGCATGTTAACACCTCCTCCTCCTCCTCCTCCTCCTCCTCCTCCTCCTCCTCCTCCTCCTCCTCCTCCTCCTCCTCCTACACATACTCCTCCTTCCTCCGCCTCCTCCCACCTCCTACCCCTGTTCTTCCTCCTGAACCACTTCCTCCTCATCCTCCCCTGGACACATCATGGGCACCGCGTGGTCCGTGCTGCGATTGGGGCAGCACTGCCGTGCCGAGAGTTTCTCGGGCGCACCACACCCTTGCTGAATCGGAACGCCTGGCCAAACCCTGCACGACTTGTCCACCGATTCACACACTACACAACGAAGGAAAATCCATGATCCGCAGGACGTGTGTTGGCGCCAACGTGTGCTGGTCCACCGAGGCCCTTCGACACGACGCAGGCTGTGCAAGAAGGGCCGGCCCAGGTTGCGTGCTGTCGGTGGAGCTGAGCGGGGTGAACACACGCACACACACACACACACAAACACACATACACACACACACACACACACTGGGATAGTACACGCCCTGGGGATCATCGATGAAGGGGGGGTCTAGTAAACAACGGCACGTCGACCGTACACGATGGCTCGCGCAGGTCGCCAGACGAGGTGAACAGCGCGGCAAAAGAGAGGGCAACCTTGTGCAGAGGGCAGCTTGCGCGCAGAAGTCTGCGCACTCCGCCAGTCGCCAGTTGTGCTAGGGCGGGCATGTCACCCTACAGGCAGATGTTCGACGAAGCACTCAACAATACCCAAAAACATGTCAAACGAACACCAGAAAAGTCGCCCCCTAACGATTTGTTTAAACTATCTTTGAATATTCCTCCTGTAGAGGGACACGCCCTACTTAACAGCTGTCCTGGGTCGCTCGCTCGTGACCACCTGCCTGGAATGCTGCGCCAGGCTGCTGTGGACTTCGTGCGGGCGAACCAGACAAATGCCAGAGAATTCCCAACAGGCGACCCCCGCAGAGCCCTGACCCCAAGGGGAAAGACGCCGTGAAAGCAGACGCGCCTCTGCCCTGACTGCCCAAGGCATTCGTCTGACCATCGCCTGACCTGGGCAGCCCCACCGAACAGTGAACGAAGCAGTACTGGGCAAGGCTGGTCAAAGTGATACCTCATTTCGCACAAGCCATCCGCCGAGGCGCCTGCCACGGCTGATGCTATCCAAACTCCTCGTGCTCCGTAACCTTCTCCGCCTCCGTGCTGGCGCGACGGTGGAGCGTTAGCATGTTTGCAGACGGCTGACATCAGAGCCGACACCTCGTCGCGCGCAGATGCCAGAGACCGTACCCCCTCGAGGGGGCGGGCCGAGACGCTCCCACGAGAGCTCCCAAAATCGGGCGTTGGCAGAACTGGGTTTAGTGGAACCTGGCTTAGTGATCTGTACCGGGGGCGCCCCCCCGCCCCATCTCCACTGACCGGAACTGCCGTCGCCCGAAAAAACACCAACCATGGCAAACCTGGTCTCGCGATTCTGGCCCATTCGAAGGCTCCGGGGCCCCACCACTGACCGGGTCCCTTTGCCCGGGGTCCTGGCCATGCCCGACAAGAGGCCTCGAGACAAAAAAACAAGCGGCGCCCGATACGGTGGAGCGTTAGCATGTTTGCGGACGGCTGACATCAGAGCCGACACCTCGTCGCGCGCAGATGCCGGAGACGCTCCCACGTGAGCTCCCAAAGGGCCTCGAGACCGAGACACTCCCACGAGACGCTCCCACGAGACGCTCTCTCGAGGAGGCGGGCCGAGACGCTCCCACGAGAGCTTCCCAAAGGCCTCGAGGCCGAGACGGGCGGCGCCCGATGCGGTCGAGGCATATGGCCGCGGGAGCCCGGGGAAGTCGGGGGAGTGCGAGAGCCCCGCCGCCGAACGGCGCCGTGGAGAGAGGCCGGCACGAAGGGCGCGGCGAGGTGGAGGCCCGCAGAAGCACGCAGAGCACCGGGGCACCCTGCCAGAGCTAGATCTCCTGGGGGTTCCTGGGTTTCCTGGGTTTCCTGGGTTTCCTGGGTCTTCCTGGGCTTTCCGGAGGCTAGCGATCCTGGCTTTCCTGGGTTTTCCTGGGTTTCCTGGGTTGCCACGTCCTGGGTTTTCCTGCTGACAACCCTCGTGCCAGCTGCACTGCCCTGCAAAGCCCAAAGACACGTTAGAGGGCTCCGACAACATCGACGTTCAGATGCCTCAGGATGCCCCGAACCCTCCGAGGGTCGCCAGAGAGGCTCCAGGAGCAGAACAACTGGAGCGCATGAGAATGATCACTCACTGTTGCTTTCGATCGACAGTGGTCCGCTTCACGGGGTGTTCAAGACACACGCCACGTCAGACAGGGCACTGAACTAGAATGGCTCTGTCGCTGTGGTGGGGTTCGCCGCAGGCAGCTGGACAAAGCATTGGCTGCTGCCAATGCGAAGTCTCAGCGTGTTTGGGACTCGAGCGATGGGCTTGGTTCTGGTCGGCCGTACGCCCCAACCAGCTAATCTACTGCAACGGTCTTAGCTGCAGCGACCTTCCACACTGTGAGAAAATGAATTTCGCCGGCCCAACGGGCCAGAGGTAGGAGGGCACCAACTATACACCAACACCGATCCTGGCCAGGATCACCCTGGGCCCAGGATCGGTGTATACGCCCTCCTGCCTTGCGCAAGAAGGCATATACACCGATCCTGGACCCAGGGTGATCCTGGGCCAGGATCGGTGTTGGTGTATAGTTGGTGCCCTCCGAAGAGGCGTGCGAAGACCTCCGGCAACTGCTTTACATGAATTCTACTTCGCGCGCGCGCGGGGCGGCCCCTGGGGGTCCCCGGACGAAAAGTGCCCCGGGCGAGTCCCGGGCGACTCGGGTCAGAGATGGTTTTCCTCCTGGGCGCCAGCCTCGAGGCCGTCCAGAGAGCCCCAAGAAAGGCCAAGAAGCTGCCAAGAGCCCCTCAAGATGATACAAGAGAGCTCCGAGATGCCACGAGATTGCTCCAAGACGCCCAAGATGGCCCCCAGACGGCCCAAGAGGCCTCCAAGAGCACTCTCAAGAGGGCCCCAAGAGGCAAAAATCATTGTTTGTCCTTAGGTTTTGGAAAGATTTTGGCGTTTCCACCTTTTCGGCTTCCCGACACCCCAAGACGGCCCAAGAGGCCCCCAAGACCGCCCCATAAGGGCCCAAGAGGCCCCCTAGAGGGCCCCAAGACGGCTCAAGAGGGCTTCAAGACGGCCGAAGAAGCCTCCAAGACGGCCCAAGAAGGCCCCAAGAACGCCCCAAGAGAGGTCCAAGGGGGGGGAACACGAAACAACATTTCGAACCCTCGGCCCTAAGAAGCCTCCAGGAGTCCCCAAGAGGCCCCTAAGAGGCCCCAAGAGGCCCCCAACAGGCCCTCAGAAGGCCCCCAAGAGGCACCCAAGCGGCCCCAGGAGGCCCCCCAAATGCCCCCCCGAGCACGCAAGCAAGTGCCAACGACCCGACGCGTTTAAGAGTCCCCACGAGGCCACCAAGAGGCCTCCCGAAAGAGTCCCCATAGGCAAAACGCTTCCAGACGGCCCGCGACGCGTTCAAGACTCCCCCAGTGGCCACCAAAAAGCCTCACATGCCGAACGCAAAGCCTGATAAAAACAGCCGCCGCCCCTGCAGCTCCGCACCGCGAAAGACCACTCGTTCAGTCGACAACGTCACGCAATATGGGCAGGCGGAATGAGCGAAGCGATTCAATAAACATAATGACACAAGACGCGAGCCCAGATTGGTCGAAGCCCCTGTGAGTTCCAGTCAAGCTACTACAACAAGAAACGATAAATCAGAAACGAAAACCATGTGTGGCCCAAAGTGCATCAGGAGCGCTAGAGAAACATCCATGGAAGGAACCAAAGAACATGGAGCCCCTGACCGAAATGTAAATGCTCCAACTGATGATGGCTCATAGCTTTTAAGCCACTGTGGGCTCAACTTAGCCACGTCCAGCCAAACCAAACTGAATTCAACCAACGAAATCATACTCTAGCCAATGCAACGCCAACGCCCAGCCTAAACCTGATGGCACATGCGAATGTAATGAAAATCAGCGCGACATAAGGAGATCTAAGCGAAAAAGCTGTCGCCCAAAGAGACTGCTGAGGTTACTGACGCAGGCAAAGAGCCGCAAGCTGAGTAAGCGACACCGAATCACGAAACAACTTGGATGAGCTGCAACGGCTGTCCCAAACAATGATTATGACGACCAGCGCTACTTCGATAGACGATTTACGCTCCCCGCTCCCTTCCCACCAGCGCAGCCTTCGGCAAAGGCGCCACAGCCCAGGCAGGGGTACCACCTGGCGTTTCTGTTGACGCTGGCGCCGCCGGCGCCGCAGTCCAACCTGGCATATCACCCTGCGCCGCGGCAGGCGCTGCGCCTTGCGGTGCGGCGGGCGCGGCAGGTGGTGCTGGCGCTGCGCCCCAGGCGGGCACACCACCCTGCGGCGCAGCAGCCGCAGCAGGCGCAGCAGGCGCAGCAGGCGCAGCAGCTGCAGGCGTTGCGAAGGGCGGCGCAGCAGGCGCAGCCGGTGGAGGCGCAGGCGCTGCGCCCCAGGCGGGCAAGTCACTCTGCGGCACGGCTGGCGCAGCAGGGGGAGGCGCGGGCGCTGCGCCCCAGGCGGGCGGCATGTCAGGCGCAGCCGCTGCAGGCGCCGGCCCTGCGCCCCACTGCGGCGCAGCCGGTGCAGCAGCTGCAGGCGTCGACGATGCGCCCCATCCAGGGTAGCCACTCTTCGGCGCGGCAGGCGCGACTGGTTGAGGTGCTGGCGCTGCGCCCCAGGCGGGCAGGGCACCCTGCGGCGCAGCAGGCGCAGCTGGTGGCGGCGCTGGTGCGCCCCGGGAAGGGTGCCAGCCCTGCGGCGCGGCAGGCGCAGCAGGCGGAGGCGCTGGCGCTGCGCCCCACCTGGGCAAAGAACCCTGTGGCGCGGCAGGCGCCGACGCTGGGCCCCAGCCAGGGTAGCCATCCTGCGGCGCGGCAAACTGCTGAGGTTGATGCTGATTTTGCTGCTGAGGAGTTTGCTGCTGCTGCATTGCGCCCCAGCCAGGCGCACGCGGAGGTGCTGCAGGCGCTGGCGCATCGCCCCAGCCAGAGTAGCCAACCTGCGGCGCTGCAAACTCCTGCTGCTGCTGCAGCACTTGCTGCTGCTGCTGCTGCTGATTTTGCTGCTGCTGCGCTGCGCCCCAGCCAGGGTAGCCGCCCTGCGGCGCGGCAAACTGCTGCTGCTGAATTTGCTGCTGCTGCATTGCGCCCCAGTCGGGCGGGCCACCAGATGCCGCAGGTTGCGGCGGTTCGTTCCAGCCAGGGCTGCCACGCTGCGGCGCGGCAAAAGCAGGCTCCGCTGGCGCTGGCGCTGCGCCCCAGCTAGCGTAGCCGTTCTGCAGCGGCGCAGGAAAACGCTCTGCTGGCGGAGATGCTGGGCCCCAGCCAGAGTAAGCGTCCTGCGGCGCAGCAGGCGGCGGCGCGGGCGCCGCACCCCAGCCAGGAAGGCCCCAGCCAGACAGGCTGCCTTGCAGCGCAGAACCCCAGCCAGGCGGACGCGCAGGTGCTGCCGGCGCTGGCGCTGCGCCCCAGCCGGGGTAGCCACCCTGCGGCGCAGCAAACTGCTGCTGCTGCTGATTTTGCTGCTGCTGCAGCGCTGCACCCCAGCCGGGGTAGCCACCCTGCGGCGCGGCAGACTGTAGAGGCTGCTGCTCCTGCTGCTGCTGTTGATGATGATTTTGCTGCTGCTGCTGCTGCTGCTGCTGCTGCTGCTGCTGCTGCTGCTGCGCTGCGCCCCAGCCAGGGTAGCCAACCTGCGGCGCGGCGAATTGCTGCTGCTGCTGATATTGCTGCCGCGGCTGGTCTTGCTGCTGCTGCTGAGTTTCCTGCTGCTGCTGTTGATTCTGCTGCTGCTGCGGCGCTGCGCCCCAGCGGGAGACGCCCCATCCAGGCATGCCACCCTGCGGCTCTGGCGCTGCTGGCTGCGGCGGAGCGCCCCAGCCTGAGAAGGGCCACTGCGGCGCCGGCTGCGTTTGCCTGAAGTTGCGGGCGCTCGTTCGCGAAACCACTCAAGGAGTCTGGGGAGTCAACTGACCACCTTACCAATGCTGGCCAGGCCGGTCCTGGGCCCAGGACCGTGTAAGTGTGTATATATGTATATGTGTAAGTGTGTCTATAAAAACATATGTGTATATATATATATACACAGGTATGTACATATATATATAAATATATATATATATATATATGTGTATGTGTGTATGCCTCCCTGGCCAAGCGAGAGGGGCGTATACACCGATCCTGGGCCCAAGATGGGCCTGGCCAAGATCGAGAAGTTGACGTCCACCGAACGGGTATAAAGCCTGGAATCCGATACAACACGAAAGATCTTGCTGAATGGACAACTGCACCGAATTCGCGTCGACGACGCGAGTCGTGTCATCGGACATGCTTCTGACAAATTCCGGCAAATCTCGAACGGGCTACCAATCTGGAAGATGTGTCCTTATGCATGCACTTGGGCCTTCAGGAACCGACGGGCGCCCATAATCCCCCTAGGTGAATCTGAAGGATACTCCCGTCTGCAAACCGCTTCGTTTTCCGAAAAATACAGGCGCTCGTAAGCCTCATGTAGATATTGATTAAGGCCTCCTTTGCCAGTATTCAGATGTTCGAGCAGAGGCTTGGCCAAGAGATCAATAATTCTGCAGGCACACAAGGCTCTCGGAGGCCGAGGAGGGAGGAGGACGGAGGGAGAAGGATGAGGGGAGGGAAAGGAGGGAGATCTAGAGAGGACGCAAAACAGAGAGGGGAACAAGGAGGAAGGGGGTGGTGAGGGGGAGGACGAAGGCAAGGGGAGGGCGGAGGGAGGATTCTTTGCTGCCGCTGCACTGCTGCTCTGCCATGAACATTCACAGTCCTGCTGGAGGCCAGCCAGGCAACCGTCGAGAACGACATTTGAAACGCAGCTCAGCACAGAGAATCATGTATGCTGAGCGGTCCGCTTGCAGACCACAGGCCGAGGCAGGTGCCCCCACGGCGGGTCGGGAACCTACCCTCGGACAGGCGCCAGTCGACAAGCCGTACAACGCTGTGTGCATCCACGTCGAGCCAAGATGGGTCACTCTTCGGGTGCTTACCAGCACCAGCACGGTTCCAACGAGATATTGACGAGCGGTGGCAACGCGGCATCTCCTTGCACGTACGAGTGAGATACCGCACACACCCGCCCGTCGAGAAACTCTTGCACCTGATACAACTACAGAGTGCAGAGCCACCAGAGCAGGTGACGCAATACAGGTGTGCCAAAGCTTTGTGAGCTTCGTGTCATACAGTTTGCGCGTCGTGCTGCAAATACTGCTGGGGTGCCAACACGAGGGCGTCGCCCTCTAACAGTGCTCGCCCTGCCAGAAACTGCCCCTCCAAACCCAGGAAGGACGGGCCTTGGGCACGGGATCATGCGGCTTCCGAGTGGCGCTGGTGGCCTGGGACAGGCCACAAGGCGGCCGCAGCGGGAACAATGTGACAGCGAGCACGCGAACCTTGCGCGTAATAGCAAGGGGGTTATCGAGCCACACGGACTGCTTGGGCTGGCCTTATCGTGGGCAAGATCTCCAAGCTTAGCAGAATGATCGGCCAGTTCGGTGCCGTCTTTACAGAACTGGAGATGGGGATCACCCTCGGCCTGAGCTTCCAACATGTGGCCGTCTGACTTTGTGGACTTGACCCATGTTAGAGTCAGCAGTCCACGCATACTTCACAAACCCTTCATGGTCCCTCTGGCAATCTGGGAAGCAGCAGTGCAGGCAACAAATTCACCTGTCTGGGCCGTCTGTGGTGGGGGTTTGGCGGTGGACAAACCTCCATTTAGCAAACCTCTCCTTAAAAAAACGGCCTGGGACCGAAACCGACGGACCTGGACCCACAGAACTCACGGCCAGCACGCCCTCTCGCGAACCGAAAACGGCCAATTCGCTAATCGACGTGTCAAGGTAGGAGGTGTCCCCAAACACGAGGGGGTAGGGGGAGGGGGAGGGGTGCACACACGTGACCTGACCCCTGCCCGGACTCGGAAACACAAGCACGCGCCCAGCCCGTGCTCGAGAGGTGTGGGATCGCCGACCCGTCCGTGAACATCGGAACCCGCGCAGTGGAGTCATCACGGCCAAGGTCGCCAGCATGATGCACCGTGGGCTCCGCCAAGGTGGGAGCAGGAACAAAAAAAACAGGGTGAGAGGAGATGTCGCATGTGTCAAGTATATGGTCGTGCTCACTGAGCTCCTCCCAGTCCAACGGCTCGTGTCGGAAGTCTTCTCCCAAGATCCCCGATGCTTGGACAGACAGGCAGGATGCTGACAGCGCCACAAGCGATGGAAAAGGGTGCCCAGGCCCTTGGAACACATGGGACACAACAGGTATGGTAAGATGTACCCGGTCTCATCAGCTCTAACGTTCGTACACGATACCTGGCACGCAAGCCCACGGATACAACATGTTCCCAAGAGGTGAATTTAGATGAGTTCATTGCAGCGAATCGCACAGGCAAGCACGCCCTCCTCTCCAGACACAAGCTGTCCCCGCAGGTTCGTTCGTAGGATCGGAACGCAATTCTCCTAGGGAGCCTCTTAAGTAAAGCGGGCTTGAGGGGGGCAGGACGGAGGATGGAGGACGGAGGAGGGAGGAACGAAGTGGAAGAAGGTAGCATGGCCCCTGCCATGACACCCGCAATAGGGGCCTCCCGAATGGTGTCCGAGCAGATATGGTCGGAGGATCGCGCAGCATCGCGCATGCTTCGGCGATGAATCGGCGATACACCTGCGATATGCAGGCGATGCATCGGCGACGTCGGCGATGCGTCGGCGACGTCAGCGTGGAGAAAACCAGGCTCCACATAGAGCCGCGTCGCCGATGCATCGGCGATGCGGCGCGATCCTCCGACCCCATCTACTCCGACCTCACTTGGGAGGCCCAGACATGGCGTCTCATTGTCTCTGGTAATGGTCGTCCCCTCGCGAGAGGGGGCTGGGGGGGGGGGGCACATGGGGCCAGGGGCACGCTTCCATCGTCACAGCATGCGCGCGAGCACGAGCATGTGCCCGATGAGCGCGGCGGCGCGCCCGAGGAAGTGAGAGAGCGGGGCACGCCCTCTCAGACAGCGGGGCCTCTCGGAAGCCCTCCGACCTCCCGGGAGGCCGCCTCCGTCCTCGGAGGGGGCTCGGAAGACTTTCGGGAAGGCCCGCGGCCTTCCGAGCCTTCTGAGGAGGCGGGCCCCCCCCTGCACTCCCCCCCAGGGCTCGCCGCCGACGGACGCCAGGCACACACACGCCCAACGGGTGCAGCCGATGCCTCGCGGGCGGCGCGTCGTCCTGCGGCGCGGCGGCCTGCGCCCAGTGCGGCGCCCACGGCGGGGCCTGCGCGGCGTCGGCCTGCGCCCACTGCGGGGCCCGCCACTGCGGCGCCTCGCTCGGCGCCGCGTCGCCTCGCGCCCACGGCGCGCCTGGTGGCCGCCCGAAAATGCGCCTCACAGAACGCGCCACAAGGGGGGGGGGCCTCTTCTCTGGACGCCCGCAGCGGGTATAGGAGGGCACCAACTATACACCAACACCGATCCTGGCCCAGGATCACCCTGGGCCTAGGATCGGTGTATACGCCCTCCTGCCTTGCGCAAGAAGGCACATACACCGATCCTGGGCCCAGGGTGATCCTGGGCCAGGATCGGTGTTGGTGTATAGTTGGTGCCCTCCGAGGGTACGGGAAACAGGGGCACGGTGCCCCACAACGGACGTGATCCAAACCCGACAGCGGCCGCTGGTTGGCCAGGCGGCCTCCTGTCTCAAAGGAACAGCCTCCGCGGAGCCTCCGACAAGAGCCCTGCTCTCCAGACGAATAGGAGCTGCTGCCGGTCTTCTTGCCGTCGCTCGGACGTCCATTTCCCATGCATTTTTCGGTTTCGTGCGTGTTTTCTTTTGCTCGATGGTCAAGGATGCTCCTCGACGGCTTTCGCCGAGAAAAAATGCACACGTCCGAGCGATGCCAAGCCTTCGCGGCAGCTGCTTCGGTGCCCGCTTCGCCCGCTCGTGCCGACGCTTCCCGACGCCCTGGCCAAGAGGGCTCGACGACCGGGGGCGGTCGAAGGGGAACTGGGACACACACACACACACACACACACACACACACACACACACACACAAATAGACACAAATAACCAGATTCCCCACATTTTCTGGGTTTCTATCTTCCCCCCCCACTTCTTTTACTTTTCATATTTTCTAGGGAATCGACGATTAATCCCACCAGCCCTCTGGGCGTCGGTGGTTTAGAGCGTTTCCTCTTCCACCCCTCCTTCTTCCCCTTTGGGGAGGGGTTTACCCCTCCCCCTACCCCCTCCCCACTGACCTGGACAGGGGGTTCCGCGGCGCGCTGGAGCGCCCAAGATCGACCCCTGGGAAGGCTAAAATTCGACACCCCTCACGAGGATCGTGGCTCCTGGGGGGGGGGGAATCGACGATGAATTGTGTCTGTGTGTCTCTTCCCCTCCGAGGCGGCGAGCCCGACGTGGCCCCGAGCCCGCGCCCGGCGAGGCCTGCGCCCCCACGGCCGGCCGGGCGCCCACCGATCGGGGGTGGACAGAGCCCCCAACAGTGACGCACCGCACCGCTTTGGGGCCCGGCCGCTCTGCGCCTGGTGGTCAGGGCTCCTTAAAATAGGGCTAGGATCGGGATAAATCGCTCCACTTCTTTTATTTCTCATATCTTCTAGGGCATCGACGATTACGTGTCTCTGTGTGATTCTTCCCCTCCGAGGCGGCGAGCCCGAAGTGGCCCCGAGCCCGCGCCTTGGCGAGGCCTGCGCCCACGGCCGGCCGGGCGCCCACGGATCGGGGGTGGACAGAACCCCCAACGGTGACGCACCGCACCGCTTGGGGACCGGCCGCTCTGCGTCTGGTGGTAGGGGGAGGGGTAAACCCCTCCCCGAAGGGGAAGAGGGAGGGGTGGAAGAGGAAACGCGTTAAACCACCGACGCCCAGAGGGCTGGTGGGATTCTTGTCTTCGGTGGGGCTCCCTGGTGTTAGGGGGTCTGCCTGCATGTGATGAGGAGGAAGTGGAGGGAGGGCGAGCAGGAGGGGGAGAAGGAGGAGGGAAGCGCGCTGCGCTGCGGATTCAAAGCGAGGACCCAACAAACAGGAGTGTCGGGAGCAACGAAACGACGTGGACGTGCAAGGAGGTGAGGTGAGGTGAGGTGTTGGGATCTCGAGGTCACCGCACGGCCTGTCGCCGCACCGCTTTGGGACTGGCCGCTTTGCGTCTGGTGGTCAGGGCTCCTGTCAGCCGGCGTGTGGCGCGGAGGGGTGCGTCGATCGGAGGAGTCGGGGGGGTGGACAGGCCTCCTGCCCTGACACGTCGATTCGTGCACTGTCCATTTCCGGTCCTCGAGAGGGCGCCGCGGCTGTCGTGTTCCAGGCTCGCGCCCACCAGGTCTGGGCCTCGGGTCGTTCTCACGAAACCATGTTTCACTCGAGGATGGACAGACCCCCCTTTAGTAAAACGTGGTTTAGTGAAAACGACCTGAAGCCCAAACCTGGCGGGCGCAAGCCTGGAAAATCACGGCCACGGCGCCCTCTCGAGAACCGAAAACGGACAATTCACTAATCGACGTGTCACTGTTGGGGGGTCTGTCCATCCCCGACCACTGAGGGACCGGCGCCCACCGCTCCGGACCGGCGAGGAGAGAGGGGCGACCACGAGCGCCAGGCCGAGGGAACCGCCCCCGGGTCGGGCACTGTCCTCCTGCGGGCGGATGTGGGCAGAAAAGGAACAATGTCAGAAACATCGTCCCCAGACTATTGTTTTGCTATCTTTTGAAAATGAACAATAGTCCCAAAAATACCCCAACAGAATCAAACAATGTAAGAAACATCGTCCCCAGACTACTGTTTTGCTATCTTTGAATACTCCTCCTGTGGAGGGACATGCCCGACTGACCCCTGGGTCCCCCCCAACGCCGACCCCAACACTCTGGCGGTGATGACGTGCTCGTGGCGCCCAGTCTCGAGTGCTGCGCCCAGGTCATCACAACTGCGGGGTCGGGGTCGGCAGTGGGGGGCCGACCCAGTGGCGATTCCTTCAGTCGTGCGCCTGCGGTTCTCCTCGTCGCACATGAACTGCGGGCCTGGTGGCGCTTGGGATTCCCTTTGACGCATGTGAGGTTACGATCATATCGAGCCTGGCGAGACTCCAAAGCAGGGGTTCACTGCACACTTTCACTTTCTTGGTGGCAATAGTGCTCGAGAGAAGACTATGGGCGCACCAGGCACGCAAAGGGGGCTGTGCGACGCAGCGCTTGGCCAGGAAAGGTCCAGGCAGCAGCCCACGCCACGAATGTGCGCGGCGCCAGAACCAGAGCACCACTCCAAGATCAAAACGTGACCAGCGCGGGACACAGCGCTTCGCGCAAAGCTGAGAGTGCGACCGTCGCTGAGGCCCGAGCATCGATCACACATTGCTGGCCTTGGATGCGGACCGCCGGCTCAAAAATCAAGATGTGGGGGCGCGGGATCAAAATCGAAACGGATCAGCCGCTCCAGGATGCACGACAGCGCCATGCAAGCACCAGGCAGCATCGGACCGTCGGAAGACCGGAACCGAGTCGGATCGGGTCGGCCTGAATCGAGACATCGAAACGGATCGATGGGGTCGAAATTGACCCTGGCTCGGGGGGGGACGAAAGGTGGGGAAGGGGCAGAGGTGATGTTGCATAGATGAAGATCGTTCTCGACAGCCCTTGGAAGAAGGAGATGTGGGCACCCAACTTGGTCGGCTCCTTCACCCCACCCCCCTCCTGCGAAGACTCCCCTCGACGTCGGAGCAGGGCGAGGCGAGACGACGGCAGCTCAGAGTCGGCCCCTGGGCCCCTCCAGGGGTGGCCCGCACGCCCACGCGCACCAGCTTTCCGAGCTGCGCCCAGCCGTGGCGACGGGGGGGCCGCCCGAAGACCAACCACCATTTGTCTCAGCTCGCCCTCCTCTTAGGGGGCCACATGCGAACCCTGCCCTCCCCCTCAGAAATCGTAGGGGGTAGGGGTAGGGTTCGCATGTGGCCCCCTACCTCTGATCGACGCACCCCTCCGCGCCACACGCCGACTGACAGGAGCCCTGACCACCAGACGCAAAGCGGCCGGTCCCAAAGCAGTGCGGCGACAGGCCGTGCGGTGACCTCGAGATCCCAACACCTCACCTCACCTCACCTCCTTGCACGTCCACGTCGTTTCGTTGCTCCCGACACTCCTGTTTGTTGGGTCCTCGCTTTGAATCCGCAGCGCAGCGCGCTTCCCTCCTCCTTCTCCCCCTCCTGCTCGTCCTCCCTCCACTTCCTCCTCATCACATGCAGGGAGACCCCCTAACACCAGGGAGCCCCACCGAAGACAAGAATTCCTGGATGGCTCGCAGAGAGCGACATGGGCTTCAGATTGAGAAGCCGGAGCCGCAGGATAGCCCCGGAGCTCGTTCCAGCTTCCGTTTTTTCCCGTCGCAGCGCCCTGCTTGAACTCGCAGCGTGTCCCGAGAGGCCTTTTCTAGGCGTTTATGCCCGGAAGCTCTCCAAAGGTCCTTCCGAAGCTCTCTCCAGGTCCTTCCAGAGATCTTCGACAGACCTCTCCACGCCCTTATGGCGCCCTGCTATCCGTCTTTGGGACCCCACAGTGCCTGCGTCCACGTGCGGCCCGCCCCATTTCGGCAGACCCCTCGCACGTTTCATGGCCATGGGAGGCTCCACCGAAGGCGGCAGTGGCTGCGTCCGCATGCGGCCCCGCCCCATTTCGAAACACCCCCCACACGCTTCGTGGACACATTGGGAGCTCTACCGAAGGGCCCCAATGGCTGCGTCCACATGCGGACCCGCCCCATCTCGGCAGACCCCTTACACCAGGGAGCTCCACCGAAGGCAATGATGGCTGCGCCCACGTGCGACCCGCCCCAACCACGGCAGACCCGCACTCGCTTCGTGGCCCCATAGGAGGCTCCACACCGAAGGGCTCGGTGGCTGCGTCCACGTGCGGCCCCGCCCCAGTTTGCCTGACCCATCACACGTTTCGCAGCCACATAGGAAGCTCCACCGAAGGCCCCGATGGCTTCGTCTGCATGCGGCCCCGCCCCATGACTGCAGACCCTTCTCATGTTTCGTGAACCTAAGGGAGGCTCCACGGAAGGCCACGATGGCTGCGTCTGCATGCGGCCCCGCCCCATTTCGGCAGACCCCTCATACGCTTCGTGGCCCCATGGAGAGCTCCACCGAAAGCCCCAGCAGCTGCGTCCGCAGGCGTGGGGCGGTCCGCTTTATAGCCGCCACCCGTTTACAAAGGGTTGGGTCCTTCGCCAGGACCAGGCTTTCTCCGCCTCCGCCACCTCCTCCTCCTCCTCCTCCTCCTCCTCCTCCTCCTCCTCATCATCATCATCATCA